CCGTTAAAACATGCTGTCTCTTCCAATCTACTAAGTTGTCGTTTCGTTAAAGTAACTTTATAGAATGAAAGTGGAGGCTCTGCTTTGACGTCGAGTCTGAGAAAATGTTAATTTTAAGATTAAAAAAGAAAACCATTTAATTTATGATTTTTACTGGGAACCAAAAGTGTCTTTAGAGAGTTTTGTTAAACACCTACTTTTGAAGTTGCCTTTCTTTTTCATTTAACACAACTGCAATACGATCAGTTTTTGCATCAATACAGTACAAATTTAAATACGGCTTTTACATAATTTATGAATGTTTGCTAATTTCAACAAATTTTGTAGCTTGCAGCAAGCTTATTCATTTTTAGCACGTTAATTTAGTCTTCTTCTACACAAGTAGATCGAAAAAGTACCACTCAAAACATAAACCTAATCTTAAAATATAGTTAGTATAAACTGTTTCGCATTAATGTAGATGTAAACAACTTAAACAGCAATATAGTAACAGAGTATTTCCGATTTTTTTCTTGCAATAAACGGTAAATATTTGTGAGCGTTTTCAAGAACGTTGGAATTGTATAATTTCAAACAAAAGTTTTACTTTTAAAAGACATTCTATCTTACATTAGGTGAGGTTTTTTTACAGCTTTCATTTTCAGTTATAAATTGTTCTTTTTATTTAAAGCCATTTCGTTTTTCACTTTATTCCTTGTACTTCGCACTTCGACCTTCATTCACTATTACCATCCTTCTGTTTGTTCAGCTGCTATTATTGGAAACAATGACCTATTTGTAGAGTACTAATTACGTTATCATCAGGAAGCACAGTTTGAAGCTTTAAACCTAATTTTCTAACTTCATTTGCTGTTTTAATTATGCTCCGCCACCTCTTAAAACTGTCTTTAGTTTTTAGAATGATACAGAGTTTGGCCGTCGTGGTAGTAAATATGTTAAGCTTTACAGTTAAGAACAAGAAACAGAAAAACTTAGTGTGTAGTAACAGTGGGAAATGTTAATATTTTATGTGTCTTTTTTTCTGTCGTGCTAATGATTAGCAAAGTGTCGGCGGAATAAACAGTCACGCTGTCAAAACAAGGGAAAACAAACAATTCAATGTCTTATTTTTTAAGCTGCTTGTCAACCATACAAATAAACTAAATTCTTTTTTTATTTTAAAGATCACCACGCTCAATTTCTCACCCCTCCTATTTTATATCTTGATTAACATCAGTCGAAGTGTGAAACAGA